CTTTGTCATGCAGTGAGCCAGAAACCTCTGATGTGCTCTGCCTCAAACACAGCCAAAGAAACGTTGCATTTAAACAGTGGGTTTGGGTCCAAAAAGAGAGGAGGTTTTCAGAGAGTTACTGCAGCAGGGCCCCTTGGCACCCACTTGATGCTGAGGATGCTATTGGGAGATGAGGCTCCGCAATGCAAGGAGGTAAAGCTCCCCAAGTTCCAGCGATGGCTGCTGCCACGTTCAGTGCTATGACAGCTCCCACACCACAGCCGAAAGCAGCAGCTCCTCTGCCAAACCCAGCCCCAGAGTCACTCCCACAGCCCCAGTCCCATCGACAGCACTGCACAGTGCCCGCACGGCGCGAGGATGAGCGTGCCCTCCTCCTCACACACAGCACTCAGCTGATCGGTGTCACAACTCGCGGCTTTTAGTGCATGAGTCACTGCTGTGGATTTACAGCATTTCATAACGATGGAAAAGTACAGCAGCACAGATGTGCTGTGCTGTACACTCATGGAGGCTGCCCCAGGCGCCTTCTGAACTCCTCGACCCATGCTGGACCCCCAGTGAGGGGGATGGAGGGAGCAATAGCTGCAGTGCTGGTGAGCTGGCAGCAACCTCCTGTCACCCTGCTGTCTGCACACACTGGGTAGAACACACAGAAATGGGAAGCAGTGCACACCCCCATCCTGCAGCAATGCTCCAAGTCTAACAGCACCTAACTCCCTGCCAGTGGGCCACAAGTGCAGGATCCCAAATCACAGCTGGGCAGCACAGAAACCCTGCCTCTCCTTTTCAGGAAGTAACAGCAGGCCACATAGCAATCTGTGCTGTTCAAGAAAGAATGGGCTTCAAAAGCATTTTACTTTGTAACAGATGTACAAACACTTCAAAGACAGAAAAGGACAACCTCCGTGGAGCCATGCAGCACTGCCCTGCTGCAAGCACAGTGCTGGCTTTGGTTCTCCAGCCATGAGAACTGAAAAATCAAACACTGTCAGCTGCAGGGTCAGAGCTCCTTGCCTGCAGTGCCCTGCCCTGCGGCCTGCTAGCACCAGTCTATGCAGGAGACAGCACAGCGAGCAGGGGCTGCCACGTGCTGCCCTGGTGGAAAACGGTGAGATGGAGTGAGGGGAAAGCAGGGCAGAAAGGAACCCAGCCAGAAACATTTGCAGTGTGACAGCAGGAACAATACAAATATTTCAGCATTTAAATATGTTTGGAATAACAGAGAATGCCAACATCTCCCTCATCTTCCCAGAAATAGCCTTGAATCACTGCTGTCCTAACGCAGAGTCCTCCCCCACTCCATGGGATCCTTCCCACAGTTGGATTTGTATCAGTTGACAGCGCGAGCAACAGAGTGGTAGGGGTGAGGGGGGAAAAAACTGGACGCATTGCAGTGGGATCCTTTGCTGCTCCAAGTGCTGCTGCTGGGTGCCCAACCACCAGCCCTGGAAGCACACAGCAGGGGACAAGTGCCTGGAGCTCACGGCATCGCTCTGTCACCCAGACACTCAGTAAATGGCCCTAAGTGTGGGGCGGCAATGGCAGCCAGCTCAGGTCCATCTGAGGGGGCCCCGTGCCACTCCTGGCCACGCTCAGCAGGTTTGGGAGCTGCTCCCACGCATCCTGCTGGAGTGCTGTGGCTCTCTGAGTTCAAAGCACTGCTGCTTCCACCCCCTCGCTCCCTTCCCCCTGTGCTGGATTACTCAATTAGAGATTACGCGTTTGCCAGTTCCCTCGTAGCCAACTGGGGCCTCTGCCAAGGTCAACACGAGTTCCAGCCAGTTTCATTAATAACTGTGAGACCAGCCCACTGGAAACTCTGAGAGGTTAATCCCAGCAACAGATCAATGTTCCCATAACAAAGCCATGCAGAAAACCACGGAGCTGAGAGAGCAGGCTGGTGATTTACCAGCTCTGCACTGGGATTGGGGCGCTTCCCTTGCTCACAAATGGGATCCCAGCCGACGATGCCCCCTCCCTGAGCCTCCCCTCACCAGCAGAGAGTGGGGACAGGGCTCCCCAAGGCCTCACCAGCTCCTCGGGATGCTGCCAGGCTGCTCAGGGCTGCCCAGGAGCCCTCCCACCTCCCTGCCTGTTCTCCAGGAGTTTGGTGTACGTCAGGCTCTGGAACGGGCAGCTGGTGTGAAATTTGGCATGCGTGGTGCTGGCTTCAATGCATCATTAAAAATGCATTTTAAACGTGTTAATTCATCCTTTTTCAATTAATGGCTTTTAAAGCTGCATTAATGTGCATCAAAGCATAGTGCCCTTTGCCCTAATTTCTGCTTTGCTGCATATATTTCCTGGCCTTAGCGCTGCCTTTCCCCAGAGTCCCACCTTCTCCTTTCAGATCCCGGCTTTTCGTTCATAGCACAACAAAAACATTCACGCAGAAAGGGAAGAAATTAAAACCTTTCAACAATGCAAAGCAGAGTCCAAGCACTCACAACACGTTGTTTTTTAATAGCCCTTTTCCATCAAAAGCTGTTAACTCCTTTACAAAAGAGGGAAGTGGCATTGTCCCTGTTACCGACGGGGAAATCTGAGACACAGAAAGGGGAAGAGACTTACCGGTGGCCAGCGGCTTGCTGGGACAGATGGCAGTGAGGTTCAGGTTTCCTGAGCCTGCCCCGGCCCCACAGCAGGCTTGTGGGGCTCCTGCAGCACCATCCCACTGGAGCAGTGGGCTGCAACTGCAGCAGCCAGCCCCTGCAAGGGGACTAAATGCAGATCATGACTGACTCACATCCTATAGGGAGAGTAGCAAACCACATATGTGGTGGAAAAGCAGTCTCAGAAGTGGGAAGAACAAGTGGAAGCACAAGAGGAATAAGAAGAGCTGGAAGGAAGGGGGGTAGCAGGACAGAGGTTCAGCTCTGCAGCAGATGCTGGGTGGCCAGACACAGCAAGCAGCACCAGCACCCATGGCTGTGGGGCGACAGGGATCACACAGACACACAAACAGGCCTGCTGTGCTGTTCTGATCTGCTGAAGGACCATGGCTTTCCCCATCCGACACCAAAGCCCTCAAAGGTCCTGGGAAGCAATTCCAGCACCTCCACTACAAGCATGCTTGGCAAACCCCCATCACGGCCACTCCTGCAGTGGGTCTCACATACACATTGCAATGATAAAGAAAGCAGGCCCACTTTAGTTCTGCTTGGCTGTTCTTGGCCAGCTCAGGGGAGCACCTTCTCAGAGGCAGTGACAGCCTGGATGAAGGGCACCAGGACATTTTGTCCCCTGAGCTCTCCTGAGCCCACCCAGCAGTAGGAGCAGCACACTCTGCATCCTGCAGCAATGTGACAGCAACCCTGCTTGGGGGAGAGATGCTCAAGTGGAGAGAACAGGTAGGAAGACAGCCTTCTGTTTCCCAGCCTGAAGAGAATTGATCAAGGGTATGAGCAATGTGAGGTTCACATAAAAAGGTAATCTTCTGCTGGCAGACATGGCTGTAAAGCTGCTGCTTTTGTAAAGAACGCTTCCCCAACACATCTGTTTTCTGTAGCCGCAAAGAGCTGAGCTAGTAAGAGCTGTTGCCTTTGTATTGCATGCTAATCTTCACTTCAAGTGAGGCTGCTGTGATCCAGAATGGGGCACAGGGGCCCCAGCTCATCCCCTGCTTGGGAAAGATGGATAAAAGCCATACAAGATCCACTTCTTTCCTGGGAGTGTCAATGGGAAAAGCTCCACAGCCTGTTACCAGGACTTGCCACAATCTGTAAAGCCATCAGGAAGAGCAGCACACACAGTACCTCAGCCAGCCCTGCCCAGGAACAGCCCTGCAGCTCGCAGCAGCCAACCCAGCCCACTCAGGTGCTCCCCAGCCATTTTTCTCTCCTTCCAGAGTGCGACATTACAAATGGCTCCACTAAAAGCATAATCTTGTCCTGCTGAATGGTATGCATCTCAGCTTTCTCTCTCTCTCTTTCATTAACAAATGTTTTAAGCCCCATAAAATGCAATGTAATTCCTGGAAATGTGTCACAGACCAAGAAGCAAATGCAGCCCCTAACTCAGCGACTAATGCCTCAAGAGTGGCTTTGCCTATTAGAAACAAATAGCTGAGACAATGCGTGGTTTTCCGGCAAGAAGCAGAACAGAACTGCTGATGGAAACAATGTGCAGACAGAAAAGCTGTCCTGGTTTCCTCACGTCTTTGGAGAGAGAACATCTTTGGTTTCGTGGCTAACAGTTTCTTTTCCCCACAGACACCTGGGCCAGCACCCACAGGAATCACTCTGTGTCCAGAGCCCCCACACTGCAGGGTCCCTGCTGCTCCTGGCAGCACCTTGCAACCTCCAGCTCTGGCCAGGCCTCGCCTGGAACCCTAACCACCCAAACTGCCCTCATTTGCCCCGTTTCAAGTTAAATGTTCCTCTCCCCCATGACAGTCAGCAGGATCTCATGCAAGCTTCACCAGGAATAAACCCAAGCTCACACTGAAGTCAAACACTGTCCATCCCAGTAGAGCATGCAGCTCAATCCGCCAGGGCCGGCAAAAAGCAAGGGGCTGTTCTTTGTAATATTTATCACGCTGCAGAGGAGGTAATTGCAAGTAAACAATCTGCTCTGTTCCAGGAGACTAAGGCAAGGGAGGCTTTCCTGGGGAAGATTATATTAAGGAACCACCAGCAGCCAATTCCAGTCCATCAAACACCGATATTAAATAAGCAGATGTGATAAATAAGAAAGGTCATGTAAAAATCAAATTAAGGCACAGTATCCACAAAAGCCAGACACAACCAACCCTAGCCCAGCCCACAGAAACTTCCCAAATGCTCCTGTGCAGCAAACAGCCAGTAAATACAAGTCCATAAATACAAGCCCATGACTAGAACAGTTTAGGAGAAAATCCTATATCCTTTTCTTCCTCTGAAGAAGTCGCCCCATCTGAGTGCATGCCATCCAACAGCACCATACACCGTGTGAAGCAGTGTATGGGCAGAGCCCACAGGCAGCTCTGCACAAGCCAAAGGGACCCCGGCCACAGCCCTCACCTTGGGCAGCTCCTCGCTGCCCGCCTGCTGGCCCTGGCTCAGGAGGGGCGAGTGCCGCAGCAGCGGGTCCTGCAGCAGGTCCAGGCGTGGCCGCTTGGTTTCAATGAACTCCAAATCTGATGGCTTGGTCAGGTCAGAGAGATAGGAATGCGCCTCGGTCCTCAGGTGCAGCTCCTGAGATCTGCGGACAAAGAAAGGAGATTTTAGGGAACAAGTTGGCTCTGCTCCCCCTGCTCCGAGACTGCAGGCAGGACACTGGGCTCCTGCCCCGTTCCCAAGGATGGGCCAAGGAGAAAACACAGCTCCAGCTCACACATCTCAGCCTGCACAGACCCAGGGCACCCTGCCTCTCTTGCACACTGGCCTGAGCTCTCTTCACCTGTTACATACGTAGCAGTTGGTAATACCTGGAAATTGGCTTTGCTTTCTTTAAGCAAGTATAAAACTTTTTGCAGCTCTATTTTTCCTAGCAGGATTCTCCTCTGGGAATTGTAAAAGGTTCCTACAAAAACACACTCAATCTTTTACTATGCCCAAAGATCAGCTTTGTTGCAGCAGCTCCAAAGGTGTTTTTAACACTTCAGGCAGATGTGTCTCTTAAAAATTACAACAAAACACAAGAGATTCAAAACTTGGAAAAAACATGGCTTTTTTTTTTTTTCCTTTCTCCTTTAAGCAAGATTGTTTGAGCTCTCTTGAGCCATGCAGCACAGTGCCAGCACACTTCTAGCAGCGACAAAGGGAGCAGGCTGGAAGCTGCCCACAGGGATGGGGGAAAGCAAACGCATCGCAGGCATGTCAAGAGCAAGCACCAGGGGCAGGGGGCTGTGCAGTGTGCCCCTCCAACCTGGGGCTGCTGATGACCAAACTCACCTTGCTAACTCAGCTTCTGGAAGCGCAGCAGGAAGGGACAGGCCCAGAGCCCTCTGAAGGCAATGGGAGCCCTTCCAGCAGCTATAACAGCCCTGGACTGCATCCAAGGGAGGGAGGTGCTGGGTGGAAATCACCTTCCCCACAGCATGACCCAAGCCCAGCTCTGTACAAGTGAGCCACAGCTTCTCCCTCACCCTCCTCCCCCTCACACCCCACTTTTTTTTTTTTTCCTTCTGTATCTTCATTTTCATGTATTTTCATGTTTTTGATATAAACCTCAGCACCAGACCCAAAACACACAGGCCAGGGCAGCGAGCTGTTTGGAGCAGGACAGCCCTTTGGTTTGGCCCCGAAGCACAGCTCACCCGCACATGCTTTGCACTGAGCCACGCACAGCAGTCCGGGCACTGCATGCATTTCCCAGCAGCCTGCCCCAACCCCTCCTGCACAGCCAGCCCACAGCTGCACGCCGACGTCCCGGCTCTGCTGCAAACCCAGCCACAATCGGCAACTGTTGAGCTGGGCAGGTGTTAAAATATTCCAACAGCCATGGCTTTCCGTAGCACAGCAATTAAAAATCTGATGTGTTTATTCTCACTTCTTCCTTTTTTTTTTTTTTTCTTTTTCAAAGGCTGCGTTACCCAGAAGCTGCTAATTGCTGCAGAGTGCTGTGGTTGTGAGGACCACGCTCAGAAAGCACCGTTTGTAATGTAAGAGCAGCACGCAGCTTTGCTGAGGCAGTTACTCATGGAGAGGCAGGGGCCATGCTGGGGAAAGCAGCTGCAATGCTACAGGGTGCTATTCTATTTCTATTTCCATTTCCACATCCAGGGGAACTGCCATTGACTCCGTGCCCTGGAATTTCCAGCCGCTCCCGGGATGACTCTGCCCAGCACCACCCAACGCCAACAGCAGCGCTCAGCTCACAGCCTGCACACCTCCCCCCGTGCACCCACACCTGCACTGAGCTCCTCACAACAGCCTTTTATATTGCCACGACACTGCCATCCGTGTAGGAAGAGCACTGTCTGAAACCCCCCCGTTACACTGAGCTTGGGGTTTCACTGCATTTTCCAAGCAGTTCCCATCTGGCTGCTTTATTCCACAGATTCCTATTTTGCTGAAGGGTAAAGGTGTTACTAAATGGCATGGGAAACCCCCTGCAGTCCCTGCCATGAGCACAGCACTGCACACAGCAGCTCCGTCTGGGGCAGGTCTGAGGCCAGAAGACCAAGATGACCCAGGATCGGACCTTCAGTTTACTGCTGAGCTACACGATTAATTGCACGCTGCCAGCTGCATTACTCACACACCACAGCCCTTTTCCCAGCGGGACATGTGGCTGGAAGCTCCTGCACTTGCTGAGTATTGAGACCTGGTACAACCTTGCCTGCTACATCGTACCCAAACCAGAAGCACCTGAGCACAGATTGGGTTAAAAAGAGCTGGCTGGTCGCTGGGTACAAGGGAAGCTGGGAGCATCCATCTCCTGGGAGAGAGGCTCCAACCAGACACCCCAAACTGCCCTCAGGGAGTCTGTAGGAGCAGCCTTGATGAGATCTAAATGGATCTTACCTTTATCTTCCTAACTCTGCAGAAGTGAAATCAGAGGGAAATGGGCAAGTACAAACTCCTCCTGAGGTCAAAGAGGAGCTTCCCAGCCCAACTGAGGAGCGCTCCTGTCCTCAAACAGGGAGGGCACCTTCCCAGCAAGAAGACACTTGGAGCTTTGCTCCCACTCACAAATACTGCTCCCCATAGCATGGGGACAAACATGGGCAGGTGGGGAGCTGGCTCATGCAGACTGCTGGAATGAGAAGCAAGGTAAGCGATAGCCTTACTGCAGCTGTTTATTTCTTCTGGCTGAGATGCCGGCCATGCATATTAACACAGATATTCTGTCTTTATCCAGAATGAGATGAGTGGGAAATGGTCTCCAAACATAAGTAAATATATATATGTATATATATATCTCCAGCCCTCACAGGTATAGACAGACAAGAAAATAAGTGAGTACCACAGATGTGAATTTTTTATAGTCAGTGCTAAGATTTGCAAGAGGTTTCAGCAACCTCTTAATGGCCAGTGTTATTCAGAGCAGGAGACTGGGCAAATTGAGACCTGCTAAAGAGAGAATCCAGAGGGTTTGTGGGAGCAAACTGCCACCAGGCAGCTAGAAAAACACAGGCTGGGCCAGCCCATACATTCCCTCTTCACACAGTTGGAGAGGGAGTGAGCAGCCCGTCTGTCTGGGTGGGGCAGCTGGGTGCCCTCATGCTCCAGCAGCAGGGCTGTGCCAGCAGGTCCCAGCATCTCCACAAGCTCCTGACGCACACCTTGCTCTCCAAACCCAGAGCCTCGCCGGAGAATCCTCCTGGCAGCACTGTGTTGCTGAAGTTCTCCCTGGCCCAATATCCCCAAGGACAGCCAGTGCTGGCCAGGCTGCTGCATGCATCATGACATCACCTGCCTTCCTAGATAGAACTCCATCCAGAATCAGGCGTGGGAAAGTTGCTCCACTCACTGTTATCCCTCCATCAGCAGCAACGCAGAGCCCAGGTGCTCCATAGTGCACACTGACCTGTTCCACCTGCTGCCTCCACATCTCCTCACTCATCCACAGAGCAGCGGGTGCTCAGACCAAGGACTGTGTGCCCACACACCAGAGCTGCCCTCAGCAGCCCATATTTTCCCACGTTCATTTAAGGAGGACAAAAAAAAATAATCCACCTCCTGCATCGCCATTTCGAGTGGGAAAAGACACGAAGCTCTGCAGTTGCAAGAGATTTCAGCCTCACTGCTGAGATAAAGGGTCACCTTTAAGGAGGGAAACTTTAATTAAAGACCATAAATAAGAGGCGCTTGGTCGCACAGCTCGCTCCGGAACAGTTGGTGCCATTTGGCCCGGCACAGATGAGGGCTGAGAAGTGCCCATTATTTCCAGCGGCCCTGCGCTGGGCTCCCACAGCTCCCTGTGCTCCACAGCCAGAGGATTAATCACGTCCAACGAGCGCAGTAATTAGGCCTGCTCTCATGCTGTACTGCACACGGCTATCTCGGATGGCTGCAGAGACATGGCAGCTGCTCAGCGTATCCAAAATATCACACTTCAGAGGAACGCTGGGAAACTCTGCGAAGTGCTTACGACTGCTAAGCAGAACGGCTCCGAATAAAGGGCACGGTCTCATGAACTGGTAAGGCAATCTCCTATGAAAACAGTGACTCATCTCGTTCTGGATAAAGGCAGAATATCTGTGTTAACATGCATATCGCTTATTTACAGCCACATCTGCTGGTGAAGCCATCATCCACCCCAGCATTCCTGCTTTAATATGGAATTTTGCTCCAGAGGAGTCTGGCTCTTGGATTTGTCAGCCCCCTCACCCACCGGCACCTGCCATTTAGTGTTCACCTCAGTTCTTCTCATTTCCTTTGCAGATCAAGATACACACAGAAGAGAAAAACCCTACTCCTTGTCACCCTGCCAGCACATTCCCTGCAGGCGTTGCCAGTACGATGTGTACCAACAGCAGACCCTGAAGCTCTTCTCCTCGCTCCTGCAGCCCTGCTGGCAGCGCCGGCTGAACAAGCTGAGGGGAAGTCCGCGGGTCCTTCCAAGAAAAAGCCTGCTACCAAAAAGCCATCAAAGAAAGCAGCACGTCCCTGCAGGGAAATGCGGGGCCAACTTTCCCTATAGCAACATGTTCGGAATGCTTCAAGTTTTCCTTCCTTCTCTCAAGCCAGAATTGCTACAGATGGAGTTCTGCCCATCCACTGCGGGGTGATGATGGCTCAAAGCCGATCCATTTGGGATACACCCAAACCTGGGACCACCTCAGCCCCATTTCTTCCAGCAGGTTGGAAGGGTTCCCCCCAGTTCACACTTGCTTCAAGGAGGGAAGCAGAAAAGCAGTCTGGAAATCCACAACCTGACACCCACCAGCTGGTGCCAGGCAGGGACTGCAGGGCTGGGGTGAGATGAGACTCCTGCTTGCAGACAGCACGTCCCGGGCCCCTCTGCAGACATTATTTGTTTGCCATTGCTCCCTCCTCCAGCCCTTGTGCTGAGAGCCAGCTGCCTCAGCTCAAACCCAGCAACCCCAGCGCAGGAATACAGCCAAAGTGCTTACAGATGCTCCTGGCATCAGCCTGCCAAGGGGACTCAGCTGCTTCCATTGCCCTCCCTGGGCCAGAATCAGCACTGGGTTTGGGGGTGAATGCCAACACCCAACCTGACCTGCTCCGGGAGCTGCAGGGCCTTGGAGCTCTCGAGTGAGCAACCACACACCCAAAGGGCCCATTTACAGCACAGCAGGCTCTGGTTTGGGGCAGGTCCTCACACCACAACGATGGAAAAGCAAAGTCTGTGGGAGAGCTTAAACATGGAGCGCTTAAAGATACAGAGAAACAGGAGCTGGGATGAGCACCTTCCCAACCTCAACCCCACTTAGTTTGAGTCCTGGAGTTCTATTCATTTACCCTCATTCACTTGATTGTCAGATCAAAAGTAAGTTTGGAGATTTGGGCTGGGCAAAACCAGCAGAGCTCATCCAGAAGGGCAGAGCTTTAGAGGTTGTGCTTTGCCCCCAGGTTACCACAGGGCTTCTTTTTTTTCTGCTGAGCACCAAGCTGGATCCACCCAACCAGACACAGAGTGCTGGCTGCATTTCTAGCCAAATACCCAGTGCTCCGGTTGCTCTGTGCCCTTCAGCAACCACCACCCTGAGCTCTCTCTCCTCTCCCCTAACAATTACAGTTTTAGAGAAGCAGACTCATTTCTGGCTGGCCACAAGCAGTGGCTCAGTGACTCTGCACTACTTGTATTCTTAGCCTAAGGAACAAGCATCAAAAAGACCCACTTTGCATACATCTACTGCTGCAAGGTTATTTCACTTCCAGGCTTTTTTTTTTTTTTTGCAGAACCACTAAAGCATCAAATGCAGAAGAGAAACTGTGAGAGAGCAGCATTTTGTGATGAAACAGAGCCACAGCGACGGCCTTTACAACAGAGCAGCTCCTGCGGTTCACGCAGCTGCAGCCCCACAGCACCCATCAGAGCAGCACCCGAACACGGCAGCCTCAGGCAAGAGGCAACTGAAGTCATCACTGGTGACACCAGGAGAGCTACAAGGGCAGCAGGAGGGAGCACAGCACCTCAGGGAAAGTCACGAGAGGAGCACAGAAAGAGAAACAATAACAGCGAGAGTGGGGAGGAAGAGCAACCCGAGAGGAAGTGGGGAAGAATAGTGGCAGTGAGCTATTTGCACTCCTCCCATCAGCATGGGCAGTCACACGCCTAAACCAGCAATGCAGCTTCATAGATGGGGTGTGCATGGTGCTTGCTTTTTTAGCACATCTATGAAACGCGTGACAGCACAAGAGAAGAAACCAGAAGGCATGCTTGCATTAGCTAAGGTACAGTCGGTAGCAATACCCAACATCATGCAGTGCAGGTTGTGCAGAGCTCCATTGCATACCCCAGTGCTGTGCAAACACTTGCTGCCATAGCTGGGAGCCCCCCCAGCCCCAGGAGCAGCCCGAGGTACCTTTCATTGCCCGGCTGGAACTCGGACAGCAGGGACGGCCTCCTCCGCTGCGGCTGCATGATGGACCCGGGCGGGAGGTGCGAAGCGTAGTCCCTGGAATGGTGCTGGTACTCCAGCAGTGCGACGTCCTGTGGAAACAGACACACAGCTCGTTGGGCTGATGGCAGCTTTCAGGAACGCAGTGAGCCCCGACAGCTCAGAGCAGACCGCATCAATGCTCTAACTCTGAAGCTGAGTGCTTCCCCCCAGCCCTGCAGGAGCACAGCCCCCTGGCCCAGGCTGCTCGTGGGGCACGTGGGCCTCTGGCACCCACGCTGTACTGGTGATGGCTTCAGAGCCAGGTGAGAGAACATGAAACGTCACAGGATGCTTTCAGCTTCAGTAACCCACACTGTGGCACAGAGAGAAATAAAGAAGAGAGGAAGGATCAAAAACGTTGTTCCTTTAAACACAGCTCCCCTGGGCACAGCTGAAGGGGCTCAAAGGATAGTATGCTACTTATTATGTGCACGTCCCTTTTGTTCCTTGACCCTTGGAGAGTACAGTACAGTATGTTCCCGATTTTAATTAAATAAGAAGCTCTCCTGCTCTGTGCCACAGACTGATTCCAGCAACAGCATTTCAGCACCTATGTTTCAATCGCTCTTTTTTTATTTGCAGATAGATACTTGACCAGAAAAGAAGACTAATCATCTAATTAACTGAGACCTTCAGCAGTGGCACACAAAGCCCTGCCACAGAATATCCCTGGTAACACTGACGCTTATTTACATTAGAACCAATCCCACCTGGGAGTCTGTTTCAAACAGCCCTCACCAGAACAACACCAAACAAAAGCTCGGACCGCCTCACAAAGAAAAAGAAATGTCAGGGTCAAAAACAACAGCAACAAAAAAAAAAAACAAAGCCAACCACCACCCACCAAATATAACACCAAGTACTTGCAGTTGGGAGGGGAAAGCCTCTCAGCCTGAACAGCTGCACGGGTGTTATTTGATCAGATGTAACCAGGGCTGATAAACCCCAGTGCACAGCAAAGAGCCTCAGCACGGGGAGGGGCGGGCACAGAGCAGATTTTGGAGCTTAGGCTGCACTGACCTGCACCTTCCCTTTGTGGAAATCCAGGGAGAAAAACCAGTTCTAAGCACTCAGTATAGGAAGCCAACAAAACCAGACCCCTGCCCCAGTCCTGCCCCTCTCTCACAGGAGCTGCAAAGGTCTCTAAGGTGCATCAGAAGATGAAAGGTGGGGATCAGGTTCATCTTTTCCCAACATCTAGCAGTTGTGTGCTGCTGCTGCTCTTCTGCTCTGACAGATCACGGGAAAGGGCAAGAACCAAGGAAAGCAAAATCAGGAACCTAGGGCCCTCTGGGCACCTCTGGGGCAGCTGCACTTTGGGGAAGGCTTCCATCTACTCATCTAGCAGGGACGTTCTAGCCCTGCTGTACTCGCAGGCCTTACAGGAAGCAGGCCCACATGTGGAGCCCTGTGGGACCGTGGGTCAGAGCACACCATGATGCCACACCAGCAGGAGAAGCACAGACACCAAGGTATGGGATTGAGACCTCACGGCCTGGCCAGGCAGAGCTGCTGCCTACAACATGCTTCTCCTCTTCACACTCATCCTTGTCTTTTTAAACAAAACAAAGCCTGAGCAATACAGTGCCTGCCATCGATGTACAAAATACACTTGTGCCAGCTGGGAAGGCACACCAGCAGGCCTACAGCCAGGGCACTCACCTGCTATGGGCGTACAAACAAGAATTACCTGTCTGGGAGGCTGGAAGTCTGTGCCCTTGAGAGGAAAAAAGAAAAAAGGGGCTCCTGCGTGTCCCAACAGCCCTGTCTTCCCTCTCCCCTTGCCCATAGACAGCCTTGCCTTCTCCTCCGACACCCTCCAGAAGACAGCTCCTGGCACAGCCAGAGGCAGCAGGTGAGGTTCAACCTTAGGGCCAGGACTGCATCCCCACAAAAGGGGCCGCTGTCCGAATGCTCCGCTCATACTGGTGCTCAGTTTTAGTGGAAGAAAACATAACCCGAAAAATGAGTGACAGGAATCAAAAGTGACAGGTTTCTGTGCCCTGAGATGAACTGTCAAAGGAACCAAGGGATGCCTGGCAGGACGTAGGTGGATTAATTGCTCAGAAAGTTACTACAGTATGCTACAGTGTGAGCCAGGGGCGTGCTTTTCAGACACAAACACCAGAAAGGTTTACGAGCTGCCTCCAGAAAAGACCTTGGTGTTGCTCAGCAGTGTTCTGGAGACCTGCTGGGACACAGCTCCCGGGCCAGGAGCAGACCTGGAAATCTACAGGAGCCACCAGGCAGGAGGGGAAGGTTGGATCCCTGTGCTGGGAGCAGCGTGACACCAAAATGCAGCAAAAAGGCCGAGCTGTCTGTGCCTCCCAGGCCCAGAAACACACTGCTCTTCGTCCTTCACACAGCACCTGGCACTGCGCCGTGCTGGAGCACTGCCCTGGCCCAGGTCAATCCATCTTGTGTGCAAGGAACAGACGCATGAAAAGCAGTAAGCCGTATCTCCAAAGCTTCGGGTGAAGCCGGCTACGTAAAACTAGAAAAAAAGGAAAATCTACATTATCCACTTTCAAACCGTGCACCTGCAGTAGTAATGGAACAAATCACCTTGAAGAAACCCAGGAGAGAGCTGCTCAGGGCTCAGCTCATGATGCAGAGGGGCAGCACCTTCCCCCAAGGACACAGAGCAGCACGGGGCTGTGCGGCACAGCACAGGGACAGCACTGCGACCAGCACCAGCAGCACCTCACAGTGAGGTTTGAGCTCACAGCATAGCCCACACAGCAACTTAGCATCCAGCTGAAGCCACGGGCAGCCTACAGCATCCCACACAATATCAGAAGCAGCTGCTGCAACCCCCTGGCCTCTACAGTGTGGCTGGAATCACTCCCTTACAGCCAGAAACCTGCCCAGGGCAGGCTCACTGCAGCAGGTCCCGCTGTGCAGCTCCCAGCCCTGCAGCACATGGAGCAGCTGGCTGGGCTGAGCCTGCAAGAACAGCAGCATCACCTGGACCGGACAGACACAGCGTGCTACGGTGCCATAAATCACCACGACAGAGCAATACAGCACAAGGCCAACGTTTAGATAAATAAAATGCTAACAAGCCAAAAGCGGCCTCATTAAAATACACTTCTTCATGCGGCAGACAGAGAAGGTGCCCCAGCAGGCTCCCAGCAAGCCATCCTGCGCTGCCAGTGGGGAGTGTGATGTGCTGCACCTCCCCTGCCTCGGGGTGCTGGGCAGGGAGCTGAGGGCACTCAGTCTCAAGGACTCCGTGTGCTCTTCCTCAATGCCACAGCGCTCAGAGCGCCGTCTCTCTCCTCTTCCTGGTAGATCCTTTCACCCCACATAACCCAGCTCTATCAGGCTCATTTAAATACAATAATCAAACTCTCTAAAGCCAGGAGACCAAATGCAGCGCTGCAGAAAAGCTTTCAGCAGCACAGAAATACAGACTGCCTCACGAAAAAAGAAAGCTGCTTTGTGAGAGCTCTCAGTGAGCTGCCTTACCTACTGGAGCATCTCCACAAATTCCTCCTTGTGTCCTCTGACCTCAGGATAACCCAGGCGCCAAACCAATGGCTGTGCACAGCTCACAGGCCGCCTGCCTCTCTCACTTTCTGTTTTGAACGCGTGCACTCACCAGCACACTTCGTTCTTCCCCCACTCACAGCTGCCTGAGCTGAGCCAGGAGAGCACATGGGGGCTGGGAGCAAAGCTGGGCTCTGCCTGCAGCACAACTGGGCAGCGCAGCAGCCACGGTACCACTGCCCGCTCCACCCGTCCCCATCGGGCCCCAGGAAGAGAAGCCTGCAAGAGAAGAAGCCTGGAGCTGCTCTTGCAGTAAAATAAGCAAGCTGCTGCTCCTCTCTTCCTCCTACCAGCAGAAAAACAAGTGTAAACACCCAGGGCTTTTAGCTGGAATGAGCCCACAGGATGTCCAGCACAGCCAGGCAAGCACTGCAGCACAGCTCGAGGTGCCTGCACGATGCCTGGCCCTGCTGCTCACCACATCTCCGCTTGAGAAAGTAACCAGGAGCTCCCCACTGACTTTCAGTGCAAAATAAGACCAATTCACTTAAAACCACCTCTCTCCATTTGCACTGACACCCGGCAGGAGCAGCACAGGTCCCCCATGCCATCTGCTCACAGAATGACAGAACATCCCGGATCGGAAGAGACCCGCAAGGACCATTGGGTCCAACTCCTGGCTCCACGATACAACCGCCCAAACATGAAAGCATGCTTCCAGATATCCCTTGAGCTCCAGCAGCTCTGTGCTGTGCCCACTGCCCCAGGGCAGCCAGTTCCACTTCTTAATACCCAACCTCCAGCACCTCGCCAATGAATGAGAGACATCTCCACTCCACTTTGTACACCTTGAACTTAGCCAAAAAAAAAAAAAAATTGTTTTAAATCTCAGTCTGCCAGCAATGAGTGTGACCTATTTTTGCAATAAAAGAAAAGCTCTCTGGTGCCTGGATACCCCTTGGTGCTGGCAGCAGTTGCTCATCAGACCGAGAAATGCACTTTTGAGCCACTGCCTGGAGAAAATTCTTACCCAAAGCCAGCTGAGGTAGGAGGAGGTTTGGGAGGAAGCTGCATGGGGACAGAGCCCCAGCGCAAAGGAGCAGCATCCACCCAGGAAGCAAGAAAAAACCTTCACAGAGCATCATCACTCTTACTGATCAAAGCAGGCTGTCCCCAGGCACTTTGCTGTCTGTCCCACATCCTTCCCAAAAGCCTGGGTCAAGCTCATTGCAGATTCAAAAAAAATAGAAACAAATACCAACTGCTTCACAATTAGCCATACTGTTGGAGATAAGGTCGGTCATAAAAACCTGGCTGAATGCATGCATTTTTATCTTGCCTACGGGGATGCAACATGTGCTGAAAAGACAAATGCCCTCATTGTTCTGACACAGCCTCTTTGCCATCCACCTCGCAGAGGCTGCTGAGTTGGCCTTTTGTTTTAGGAGGTGACCACAGTGCACGTGGCCTCTTCCAGGAAGGCATCGATCGCTGCTGCCGTCCCCGCACGGAGGCTGTGGCTGCTGCCAGCACCACCAGCGTCTGTAGCAGCTGCACAGTAATGCATCCTTCCTGACGCCTTCTCCCCCTCCCTCTGCACAAACAGGGCTGTCGGCGATGTGTGGCTGTCCTGTCTGAATGTGCCATTCATGGACAAGAAGTGACGGCGTGGTGGGGGCAGCCCCCAGCTCCCCTGGCTTCCCAGTCATCTGACCAGAGCCTGGTGCCAGGCCAGCAGCCAGCCTGCCCCCGCAGCCAGGGCTGCATGCAGAACAGCAGCACATTCATCACAGGGCTGCATTTGAATTTCTCTCCGTCACAAGACTTTTGGCTTCTTCTTTTTGCCCCAGTCACGTCCAGGCACCGCTGAGCCAGCAGTGAGCCCTTCCCCCCATCCCCATGCTGGGCACTCTGCTTCCTGCAGCCATTCTCAGCCATGAGCCTTGCTGTGGGGTGAGCAATGTGCCAAACCCCAAACATCCAACCCAAGCAATTCTATGATTCTGTGATCCACATTTAAAGCGTCAGGTCACTTTGCTCATCATCACTTCTCTTCCACAACAGTCCCCCACCATACATCACCGACCTGCTGCCTTCCCACATCCCCCATTCAGCTTCCAACTACACTTCCTTACAACTGCACAACAAGTTCTTCAGGTTAAGGGACTGACCCACTCACAGTTGCGTGTAAATGACTATCAGTGACAAGCAGCAGATCCCCCAGTCCTGCAAAAGGCATTTCCACCACAGGGGTTGGTGGAGCAATATGGACAGAGTCAGGCTGGCCACTTTACATCACCAAAAGCAGCATTAGTGGAGCTCTACCTTTGCCAAACCACATATGCAGCAAGTTTTTTCTTCCCCTGTGGATTTACAACTCTGAAATCAAGAAAAAGCAAAGTAGTACCCTCTACATCAACTCATGTCCAAGAAGTAGATTAGGAAACTGCCATAAAATTGTACTTGAAGAAAAAGAGTTGTTTTGTGTAAGTGGGAATTTTCCTAGGAAAAATGAGCCCTGCTCACAGCAGCTACTGTAAGCCAGCTCCTTGTTCCTGGCATGGAGAGAGAGACCCCGGGGCAGGGAATTAGGTGTTCTGTTCCTTCACTTGCATCTCTCCCGATCCTAAATCACAAAGCCGATTCTCCCAAAACCACTGCTCAGCCACACTGATCTCATGCAATATTGCACTGCAAATCTGAGGTTAATTCAGGAGGAATCATTCTGAGTTCTCATGGTAAGTTCCAACGTAGGTTTTTGCTTCACAAGCCTTTTCCTGGGCTGTTTGCTGGAAGTTGTGGGCTGCAGAGCTGGCAGTGTTGCCCCCCACCCGGCTGCACAGCTGGGAGCAGGCAGCTTTTTCTCACTCCTGGAGATGGTTGGAGGAGGCTCTTTGCAGGCTGGGGGATTTTAGCATTTGGCACCATAAATCCTTCCGTTCTGCAAGTTCCTGGAGCACCAACACAGACTGGCATTTTGCTTGCTGGAGATAAAAGTGTGAATAACCATTCTGGAAAGAAAAAATAACACCACCACAGCAGCAGAGACTTGTAATGCCCTCCCTGTGCTTACCCACCACTGTGCTGCCACTCCCTGCCTTGTCGTGGAGACACACCAGCTCCTGCCATCCCAGAGACGTGCAGCTCTGTGCACAACAACCTGCTCTGCTGCAGCTGCTGAGAGGAGCCCATGCAGGGAAGGCCACACTCCCACCCAGGCCACTACCTAGCCAAGGCATCACATCAGCACATCAGTTTGCACCAACCTTGTGCCCCTGGTTCAGGTGGATGAGAAAGCGTCTGGCCAAAAAGTGAGCAATTGCTCCTGTGCAGGAGATGCTCTGCAAGGTGTTAGCAAAGGAACTACAGCAGCTTACTGAGAGCTGCTCCCAGACAGGAGGGGAGGCTGGGGGAGAAAGCACAAAGGCCTGGGGAAGCTGGAGCTCAGGGGTTAAGGAGGGAAGCACGTTTCCATCCCGCTGGGTGGGGAACAGGGCTCTGTTGGAAAGGGATGCCACACCACCACAATTCAAATGCCAACAGAGCACATGCATACACCCCAACTGTTCTCCAATCCTGATTAATATCTCCAGTAACAACAAAATACTACAAGCACATCCAGAACAGAGGCAGCTCCAGCGTGGGGACAACCAGCTCCTGGCAATGGCAGCATGCACCCAGCTAACAGCACAGCAAGGGACTGGGCATCCAGCAAGAAACCAGGGGCACCCCGCTGCCCCAGGGAACAGTGACCACGGAGGGGCTCCAGGGGACGTGGCTATGCAGGGACATCGATCTGTTTACAGAAAATATCTGCAGGTTGCCTGAAAAGGAATATCCATCATGCCAAGGTTTGCTTTGAGAGAGCATGAACTTCGGACACATTAGAAGGTTAACAGCGTAAGTAATGTGTTTTTTCACCTTTAGCTAAAGGTCGCAAAGCATTCAAACGATTCTTCTGTTCCCAAGCAGAACATGATAGAATCAGCTGAACACCCCAATATTATAGCTAATTAATACAGAAAACTAACATGCTTCACCTGCAGTTTGGCCAAACAACCCTATAATCTTCTTAAGGAAAAAAAAATCCTGTTCATTATCGGTGATTTTTAACAGAATCTTTCTATCTAAACTTCTTCCGTTTAAGAGCATGCACACTTGGCAAAGTTGCTTTCTAAGTAGTTTTTTAATAAATTGGAATTAAATCTCAGGTCATAAGATACCACACTTTGCCTCCTTAGCAGCAGCTGGCACCAAATACAGAGGAAGAGGCAGAGAAACAGGAGGAGACCCCAGGGCAGTGGGAGCAGCCCTCCCCAGAGCTGGCACCTGCAGGCCAAACCAGCACAAAGCCCTGCTCACCCTGTGCTGGATCTCCTCCAGCAGCCCCCGGCTAAGCAGCAGCTCCTGGATCTCGCTGCTGGGAGCCAGTACCCATACATACCAAGCATATTTATTTGAAATGCCTCTTTTTTCACTCATTTTGTTGGATATTCCCTCAGGTTTGGTGAGCAGTGAGCAGAAAAACACCCAGCTTGCTTCCCCTGCCTCCTGCCCCTTCGCAACACCCACTCCCACTTGCCTCATCTGTGAAATCCAACAGCTGAAATCCTTTAAATCACTTTTCATAAAGTGTCTCCAAGCCTAAAATAATGTCACGGCTCATTTCGGAGCTCAGTATTCTGCTGCACCACGTTTCCCTGGGTGCGCCCGTCACAGCTGGACTGCAATTATTTATTTCTGTTCTCATGGCATTCGCAGCCCCGCTGTGCTCAGCCCCACGTGCCCAGGAGGTGACCGGGCCGCTTCCGCAGCTGGGGAAGGAACCCAGGGCCAACAAGTTCCCAGCTCGCATGAAAGGACGTCGTGGAATGCAGCAACCCAGAACGGAGACCTAATGAGATGCAAGGCACGCCAGCACTGGGTTGGTTTTGGCCTTTCTTACTTTCTTCCAAACAAGCTCCCACTGTGCAAACACACCCCATGACAAAACTGACCTGGCCAAGACATGCAAGCAAATACCACTGACTTTTAATGTTAAAGCAGCACAGCAGCTTCAAAGCAACGGAGCTCTCCCAAGTAACCCCACCAGAGAGCAGCCCCATCCTCAAAGCCACAGCCTGGCCAGCTTCCAGCAAGGCACGGGGCTGCCTGCTCCCCCAGCACAGCAAGGTGTGCTCAGTGTGCATGGGGCTGGCATGCTCCCACCCAGAGGCAAGAGGATCTGCTTGGCCTTCCAGCTGAAAACCTCAAGCTCTCCTGCACCCAGACACCTACGGGGTATCACATAACTTCGGAAGATTACACATGGCTGTAAAAATAGCTTCTAGAAGCAAAAGCCAGCTACTTCTTCCAACATTAATAGGATAGAATAAAAACAGCATTCACTCAAGCCAGAGAGCAAGACAGGTTGCAGAAACCCAAAGCTCAGACTCCCTTGCAAACAATTGCCCCATTCGGGTCATTTTGCTGACGTGACAACTAAGGGAGAGCTGTGGGTTGGCAAGGGATGAGGATTCAATCCCCAAACCAGAAGCCACCTGCCCTCTTCTAAAATCCCCCTCCACACTGAGCTTTGAGGTTTAGGGAGTTGTTTTTAAGTCAAGGCTTTGCAACAACAGCAGACCTTGCTCACCTGGTCACATCCTCCTGCTCAAATTTCTGATAAAAACAGAACAAGGATTTTCTTGTTGAGACAAACGTTCTCATTCCACCCACCGCCCAAATAAACACGCTCATACCAGTGGAAGCAAAACTCCTCTAGATCAAACCAGGTCAGCCTGTCTCATAGCCTGGATGAAAAGCCTCTTTGTGCAGAAGCATGCAGACCCCAAGCAATCTAGACGAGCCAGTTAACTAAGCCAAAAGCTTGTCCTGCACCCTCTGTATATTCTTATTTCAAAGCTATTCCAAACTCCAGCTCTGCTCTACATGCTGCTCTGCTGAAGCCCAACAAAGAGGGCAGACAGGGAAATTTCACCTCTTCGTTGACATTTCTTGCATTTCCAGGCTTTCAAGTCAAACCCTAAATTCATCACGGCAGGAGTTTCACAGTTCAATAGCCTTCACCATCAGCAATGTAACCCTGAGACAAGGTCACCTCGCTAACTCCCATTACATGCACCGTACCGGCTGCAGTCACCATGCTGCAGCTCACCAAGAAGAGGGCACACCACACTCCAGCACCTAATAAGATTCATTTAAGCAGCCTGAGCTGACTAAAGCTGTTCCACTAAGGGGAGGTTTTTTTTTTTTCCCGTTAAGAGCTTAAACCTAAAGCAGTCAAACATCCAGGATGAGCAAGCAGGGATGCGAGTGACAGGGCACAGGGAGAGGCCAGATCTGGGTGAATTAACCCAGTGCATTCAGCAAAACACAGCCAGCCCTCATCTCAACGCATGGCTTGGTCCTACAGGAGACAAGACTACACATCAAAGAGGAGGGAGGGGAAAAGCATGAGGAAAGACAAAATGTTAAAAAAAAAAAAACACAGCAGATTTCCTCCTTGCCTCACAGTACTACCACCAGATACACAGAGCAGGGCTGCTCTCCTGACCCAAAGGCAGCAGCAGGTTCACCCCTGCTTTGAGGACATCACCACACTGTGCTCTGGTTCCCAGAGGGGCTGAACCACATTCCCCTCTCCCCACCGAACCAGCTGTGCTTTCTAGAGGACCAATAGTCCTCAGCACTCACAGGTGGTGAGTCAGTGTGCACGGACAGCACCATGGTAAGGAGTACAAAGGGAGGAGCTGAAAGCACTAAGCAGAAGATGACAGGGGAGAAAAAGGGTGAAATCCCATATCACGGGCATTTCTGCCTAACAGCCACATCTGAGACCAGCACAGAGGAACTGCTGCCCAGCACCAAGGGCAGCAGTGGAAGGCAGCTCCTGTCTTACCGCGTGCGGCCGGGCGATCTGCACCGGGTAGGACATGGCGTGCGGGGGGTAGCGCGGCTCGGTGGCACGCCAGGTCTGTGCCACGGGCTGAGTAGATCCAGACATGTCGAAAGAGCAGACGTGGCGGTGGCTGCTTCCAAATCACCAACAGAAGATTAGGAGAGCCAAGAGCTCCTCTTCATCATGAGCGTGCTTTCCTCGTCGCGCAACAACTGCAAGCAAAGAGGAAAGCAGTAGATTAAAACTCAGTCAACCACAAGACACCAACACTGAGGCTTAGATGATCCCCAAAACCTGACCGCTCTCATGGTTCTCCACCAGCCCTGCTTCCTGCCTGCTCCCCCTACGCTGCACCCCAAGGTCCCTCCTCCAGCACCCCGTGCTGCTCACACCTCCGTGCACCCATAACACAGTGCTCTCCTTGCCAACCCCAGCAATCCCTGCACCCACATGAGGCAGGAGCCTCTGTCAGCAGGAGCCGGGCACTGCGCTGCCCATAACTCAGGACTCAAGTGTGTCACACACCTCCAGCACCGCATCAATACTGAATCAGCCCTTCTGATCAGATCCAGTGCCACAGAAGATACCACGGCCCAGAGGTTATTTTCACAAACTGGTCGCCCACACACGTGGTGGCTTATCATGTGTTGTAATCCCTTCTGCAGCTGCAGCACAGTTGGGAAACTAGTGGGAGAACTCCCCTCGGCCCAGAGGGAGCTGCAGGGAGCCAACGGGGCTGCAAGCTGCCCGGCTCTGCTCCACTGGGAGAGCAGAGAGCCCAAGCCAGCACAGTTCAACTGAAACAGCAGTTGGCGTGTGCAAAAACCAACAATGGGTGAGAAAAGGAAAAAAAGAGGAAGAGTTTCTTTCCCTGCAAGACCACAGATCAGCCCACACTGATGGAGCGCTCGCTATCTGTGCCGGGCAGGCACGGGGCCACCTTGCTGGTTTGCCCATGTCCACACAGCCAGAAACCAAACCAAAACACAGCAATGGCCCCAGCGGCGACACAGAGCACAAGGAGATCACCGACAGAGGGGCCAAACTTGAAAATACATCAATACATCCATCAAGGTTACAGAGGGCAGAAATGCAGAGGTATCTCAATGCTGCTACTGAAGGAGCCCAGCACAGCCCTGCAGGTGCCACTGTGCTCATCCCGTGGGCACGCTGGTGTTTGTGGGCACGGGGCACACCAGGACCTTGGCATGCAGCCGCCCCAGGAGCTCCGTGCCCTAGGGACAAATTGTTAACTAATTGTTTGTAGGAGAGGAATGCAAACAATAGGAACAGATTAATAGGAAATAAACCAGAAATAGCACAGCCACGCTCTTTAAATCTGGACTGTTTGGTTACTACTTTTCTCAACTGATTTTGATGAGGAACAGACATTGTCTCACCGGAAAAGTATTTCTCCCCCCTGGTTGGAGTCTTGATCAGGGAATGTTTTATCCACAGACCTGCACTAGCCATTACAGTGCTAGGTATGAGATTTACAATCTAATTAGAAACAGGAGAAAGCAAGAGGTTGCTGCCAAACCTGGCCCCAGGATGGCAACGCAGAGCTGCGGGCACTGAGGGGGGGTTCCAAGCTCATCTCTGCTTCCTTCCAACAAGGGATTCCCAGATCCATACCCAGCATCTCTGTGCCTTTCCCTGCCCAGGAACATCCCAAGGACCCGCTCCAAAGCAAGGCAGGATTCCTGGGCCTAATCCTTGCCCTACACACAGTATATCAAGGGTGGGGGGCTGCCTCGATTCCTCTGCCTGAAGGTGAGGACAAGGCACTGCCAGATCACAGAAAGTACCCACTTATCCATCCTTACAAAAGCTGTAAAGGTCCCAGTGAGAGCAGACTTCTTGAATTTAAAACATTAAAAAAAAAAAAGACATGCTGAAAGAAGCTTAACAGAATATTCTATTTCTTAAACCTAAATTAATGTTACTCAACTTGTGGTCTACGGATCAGGGATGGTCTGCAGAAGACGTTAGAATGTAGCCCACAACATGATGGCACAAAGCCCCACTACAAGGCTACACCCACACAAGCACCCCCAGCCCAGGCATGGGCACAGCACTCAGAAGTTACCCACGCGTTCTTTAAAGAATGGGCAGAAGCAAAAAATCATTAAGATGTAATGAAAACGATTTGAAGGACGTTCCTAAGAAACACATCACCCTGCAATGATAATGGGTTTGTCTTACCCACATGTGCATGAAATTTTCTTGGAAGACAGCTGACATTAGACACAAATATTTGTATGCAGTGTATCTGTTAAGTCCTTTCAATAGGCGAGCCGGCCGCCTGCCATATATTTAAGGCTCTATTCAGAATAACAAAGCAAACAACGTCGGCGTCTGCAGCCCAGGAATCCACAGTAGCATTCAATCTCAGCAGGGTACAGAGGTTTTAAATTAAAATAGCAGCACAGGGTCAACAGGAAAGATCAGGCACATCCTGAGCTGCATGGCGTGGATGAGAGGTGCTCCAGTCCTGGGCTCAAAGCCTTTACCTGCACGGGATGTGCTGTCTTTGGAGAACCACAACACGCAGGGCTGGCTGCTCAGTGAGCACAAGGGCCCAGCACTGCCCTGCTCCCAGCTCCTTCCTGCAGTTGCCGCAGGTCAGGCTGCTCACAGCAAACCACCTCTCTCCTCTCTGTGCAGGTGTGGGTTCATCCACAACAGGTCTTCCTTGCTGGGAGCCGCAGCCCCGGCACCAACCCCAACACCAGGGGACTCCCTGCTGGCACCATAAAGCAGGATTCAGGACTTGTGTTCCCAATCTTTCCAAGCTATTTTGGACCTGGGATGGTGTTCAGCTCTGCCCTGAGGTGCCCTCTGCCAGTACTCACAAGGGGAGCTGATACACAGCGCTACAGCTCTGCAGGGCTGGGCTGGGCAAGCTGCCCTGATGGGACGCTCCCAGGAAAGGTCCTGACAGGCAACAGCGAGGAGAAAGAAACCCACAGAGAAAGGGGGAATCCGGATCCAGGCACAGGCCATTCATGAAACAAAGGAGTTATTTTTAAAGTGCAGGCTGGAAATAGAAAACAAACAGACCATGTGAGGCTTTTGTTGAAGATGATCCGCAAAGACGAATGGAAATGCCCATAGAGGAAATGAAAAAAAAAACAAAACAAACAAACAAGCGCTGGGGCACCGGGACTGTGATGGGAAACGGGGTGGAGGAGGAGAGGGAGGAAGGCAGTGATGGCTGAGAGTGGCCAGCAAGGAGGGAAGCGTAGGGTAGCACAGCACAGCACGATGGACGCAGTTCTGCTGCCCCCAGCAACGAGTGCTCACAGCACAGCAGGTCCTGCTGCTGGCTGCAGCCTCATAGACACACACACACAGCTTAAAATCAAGAGGGGAAAAAAAAAAAAAGCAGTTCCTCACCATCGTGTGATAACGATGACTACTTTAGCCATGCTCCCAAGTACACTAAACAGCACATTAACAGCCGTGCTGTAACAACACACAGAGCCCAGGCTGCGGCGCGGGGGGAGCACGGAGCACCTGCAAACCTTCTGTATTTATGGCACAGCACACGCTGCTCATTTGGGTTTCAAACACTTTGCTTCCATCGCTGCCAAGATGGGTCCTCTGATGTCTGGGGCGCGCCGTGAGCGCTCAGTCATCTCCTCCACATCCTTTTGTTGAACAAATTACTCGGCTCAGGAGTGACACTTTTGATTATTTACATCCTGCATAAAGAGGGGAAATTCATTTTCTGGATTCCCTAAGAGAAGTTCTTTGAGGCGGATCGCACTGCTAAACATTTTCTCCTTTCACACGTTCCCAGTTTCAAAGATGACAAAACATCTCCGTGTTCTAAATTATTCTTTTTCTTTCATGATCCTCTAATGATTCAGGAGTCTCGACTTCACACGAGCATCTTTGAAGAGCTCTGGCTGCCAGCATAAAAGCTGAACTGTTGTGACAAACTGCACTATTTAATGCCACCATAGGAAGATGTGCAAAGGAGCAAAATTACCCTGGGGAACTGAAACAAAGCCTACAAATAAATTAAATGACCTGTAAACCAAGGTACTCAGAACTGTACGACGATGCCGCACGGCTGTGCCATGAATCAGTAAACGACTGAGCCACAGAGGCTCTCAGACCAACCCTCACACAGCACATCCCATATCATCCTCATGCCAACCCAACAGCTCAGGCCAGTTCTGAACCCTGCACGGGTCCCTCCTAAGATCCTGAGGTGATTACAGGGCCATGAGTCAATCCTCACGTTGGTGAGGTTGGAATGACCATTTGCTCCTGCACACATCTGCTGCTTTCATTCCTCCCCACAAAACCAAGTTCCAGCTGCCATGGCCCAGAGAAAGGAGCAGCTCATTAAGTTCATGGCAGAGCCAGGGCTGAGGTGGGAGCCATTAATTGAGCACGTTCTGCTTCCCTGTTCAGGGTAATTAACAGCTTCTGAACAGAAGGTCAAAGCCGCTGCCGAGGCACCAGAACACTTTCAACATTTGCACCCAACACGCAGCAGCGCTCAGGACAGGCAGTGTGGATCAGGATCATCAACCCAGCCCACCGTGCCGCTGAGCCACGGCCCTCAGCACCTTAAACACCCCAGGGACAGAGACTCCACCGCCTCACAGGGCACACTATCAGCCCGCCCTGTTTCGTGATCACTAAACTGAGATCTCTTTGTTATTAATAATTATTGCTAGCAAAAAAAGCCCAGCTCCATGGGTGCTGCTCGCAGAGCTGACCTGACCCCATGGGAAGCTGTGACTTACTGTGCAGGATGGGAGCTCCTCCATCCTCCCACAGCTCTGCTTTCAGGGGTGTGGAATGGCTTAATTATGCCCCTCGAGGTAGGAAGAAGTCACTTGTCTTTAAACACTCAGGCTTTTATTGAGTTAACATGTTTTAACAAGGTCACAGCTCCACTGGTAAACTCTTACCCAACGGGGAATTTGCTGCTTTCCCCCCCCTCACAATTAATCAGCGTCTCCC